AGGGTTTTCATTGGCTGGTTTTTCAATAGTTTGAAAGTGAGAAGATTGCCAGGACTTTCTTCCAAGGTGCCTCTGGATGGACTCAACGCTCCAACTTTTTGTTTAGCATCCAATGACATTAATCATTCACACCCTCCACGGACTCAAAAGCAAACTACTGCCACTGAGTGAATTCCAACTCACAGCGACCCTACAGTATGGGCAGAGACCTGCCTCACAGGGTTTCCGGAACTATAAATCCTTATGAAACCAGACTGCCTCATGCTCCTCCCACAGAGAGACTTCTGGGTTTGAACCACCAACTTTCTGGTTAGCAGACAAGCACCTTAGCCACGGTGACACCAGGGGTTCCTAAATAATGACCATCCCAAAACACTGCCACTGAATCAATTCCAAACTCAAGAGCAATTCTATATAGGGTTTTCATGACTCAATCTTGACGGGAGCAAACAGCCTTATCTTTCTTCCGTAAATAAGGACAGAGGTCTAATTTCCCCTCCACAATTGCTATACATTTTGAACGGGGCTTCGAATCAGCTCTTCCTGCTTCAACTTCCAGCCGAGATATACCACATCAGCATCTACATCCTTAACAAAATCCCTAAGTGATTCTCACGTATTCATAACCTATCTTTCTATACCCAGCACCCAGGGATCTTGTTAAACGGCGGGCCACTTTGATTCAGGATTATCAGGGGTGGAAAGACAAATTCTCAGCAGAGATGTGAACTACTTCAAAGCCCTGGTTTTGAAGGCAATCAGCTGACTAAAAACTACAACCTTGAGCATGTCAGGCAGGGGTCACGAATTGCTCAGCAAAGCCAGACCCCGTTCAGAAACATTAAAACTCCTAAATGTCCTCAGTTACCACCCCTGTCTGCCCTGCCTCAGAGGTTGTTCTTGTTGCTGACAACTGTTGGTCAAGAAAACAAGGTGAACGTGCAAATGTAGACACACCTAGCTCCCAGAGCTTGAGAACCCACATGCTCCTGCGTTCTGCAGCCCCCTGAATGAATCCTTGTGCCTCCCGGGATTCGTGTGTAAACAGGTACTCCTTTTTAACTCGCTGCGTGGCTGCTATGGATGCTTCATGCCAATTTAATCAACAGCATTCCCCTAAACCCTGAGTGTTTCTGTCTTCAACTACACCTGCTACAAAGCGCTGGTTTGATTCTGCGTGGAAGACTGTCTTCTACACACCTAGTCTTAGGGTTCTGGGGAGCAGCTGGCTGTATGAGGTCCAGGTTGCATTCCCCTGGGAACACAGTCATTAAGTGTGAGAACATGAAGGCACACCTGAGCATGTTTACCTGGAGCTCCAGACACAGCTTTGACCTGTCTAGAGCAGGAAGGTGGTCAAAAGGCTTGCAAGATGAGAGATGTCTTCTGCAGAATAAAGTGAGAGAGAATGTGTGTATGTGTATGTGTGTATGTGTGTTTATTTAGAAAGGAAAGAAGAAAGGGAGAAACAAGGGAGGTAGAGGAGATAGGTAGGGCGACAGGAAGGGGGACAGAGAAGAGAAGGTGACAAATATTCTGGCTGTGAGTGGGCTTGGAAGTAAAGTGGGGATAGGAGTCAGGGATGCGAGAATGAGTGCTTAACTCAAGACAGAAATATTGTAGAACCAGAAGAATCCCTTTTGCTTGAATCAAGTATTTTGAAGCACTAAAGACGGAAAGCTACATTGGTATCTGTTCAAAGAGCAAGTAAGGAAGCAGGATGTTGATGAATCAAGGGTCAGAGATTGGTATGGCTGAGATGTGTTGCTGAGGAGAGAAAACAGCCCGAGTTCCAGTCCTGACTCCACCACTTACTACCCACGTGAGCACCAGCAGAAGGTTCAGCTGTGGTGTCTCTGCATCTATAAGACGGGATGAGATTAGCCTAGTTGTGAAACATGAGAGGACTCCAAAAAGTGCATGGGACAATCCCATCATCTTTGAAATCAATTTTCTCATGAACTTGAACATTGTAGAGATTTACAATAACAGACTTGGCACCGAGTAGAGTTCCCGTTACTGGCAGTGGTCAGCAATTAGAAGATCCTCATTAGAGGGGTGCCGTTACAATGCTAAGTGAGACCAGTTCCAGCCTGGACTCCAATATCACCACCAAAGTGCCTCAAATGCCACCGTTAGCAGTGTTTTGCTAACACAGGAGGAACAATGCAGAAAAGGAGGAAGAGACCAGCTGCATGACCTGAAGAACGTCATCCGTGTCACTGAACTGAACATCCAGACATCACGGAGCTGGTGTTACATACATTCTCAATGAACAATTGATACAAATAAAGCACATCTCTGAAGCCTCAATTTCTGAGACTACCTGATTTAAAAGGCAAATACCTACTGGGAAGATTGATACTTGAAGACATTGACAAATGGGGTCTGGTCAGAAGACTAAATGGTGAAAAGACATCACCTGACTTGGGCTGATGAGTGGGTGGAGCGAACCTTCTGACTCACCTCCAAAGATGCACAGTGCTTTTCTTGAACAGTGAATAAGGAAGACCGTAGAAAAATTGATGCTTTTGAGTTATGGTGTTGGAGGAGATTATTGAAAGTGCCATGGGCTGCCAAAAGAACCAACAGATCTATGTTGGAAGAAGCGCAGTCAGAGTGCTCCAGGACGGCCAAATGTCGTTTCTCATACTTCGGACACATTGTCAGGAGGTACCAGTCACTGGAGAAGGATATCATGTTTGGTGTCATGTCAGAGAAAAAGAGGAAGACCCCCAGCAGCAAGATTGATTGGCAAAGTGACAGCATCAATGGGCTTAAGCATGGCAACAATTGTGAGGTTGGCGGAGGACCGGGCAGTGTTTTCTTCAGCTGTGCATGGGGTTGCTATGAGTCGGTACTGACTCGATGGCACCTAACAATGACTCTGACTCATTTGTCTTAATAACCCCTGTGGAGTCACAATAAGTAAGCCCCATGGGCATTTGAGGACACTGATGACCAAGGAAGTGAAATGGCTGACCCGAGTTCTTCCCCATCGTCATGCATTGAATTATGGTCCCCAAAAGAGATACATTAAAGTCCTAATTCCTCAATACCTGTGAACGCACGCTTGTTTGAAGGGAGCAACTTTGCAAACGTTTTCGGTTAACCCAAGGTCACACTGGAGCGGGGTGGGTTTCTAAAACAGTAGGAATGGTGTCTCATGAAACAAGA